CATATAAGTACTACAACTCTCTAGTTGGAACAAAGGTTGAAATGAAAACAAGCTAGTTAAAAGAAACATCCTTATTGGTACCTTAATATTCCAATAAATGGAAATCAACTTGCATGGCATGCTTGCTTGCCAGAAATGTGGCTACCACAAAGCGAATCCTAGAGGACAAGGAGAGTGACTGTTGCAGGTGGCAGGCCACAGAGAAGCCATGCAATGCAGACAATCTATGCCATAGGGTGCTACGAGGCTTCTCAGGACCTCAGGAGGAGAATGGGGAAAGCACAGCGGGGCGGATTTCTGGGGCTGGCCTGAAGAGGCGTGCACTGGTGTTTAGGCTGTGCTCATGAGTACTGGAAGCCTACTGCCCGGGCCAGCCGCCACCCATCTGGAGCAGCCCTGTTCACTGCTGCTTAGCTGTCTCTCCCTTAAGGATTATTTTCTGCACATAGAAAAGATGCAACTATCCTAGTTGCTGACAACAAGGTACAATTTTGGACTCATTACTTGGAATGGATGCCCTTTCTAAGAAGGGCAAATACACTGGTTAAAACCTGGTTGTCTGAGGTAAGACAAAAGATAAAGAAGAATGAAGATGTTAAAATAGAAGACACCCAAGACCCTGTATCATGCTTTGCTAATTATGAAGGAAAAGTATCTGTGGTTACAAGTTATAGAAAGAATTCCTGGTCATTAGGACACCACAAGAAAATGCACCACCCTCTTAGTGGGTGACCCAAGCTTAGGAACCCAGTGGAAGGCAGGGGTGTGGAGTGGAGATCTGAATGTGTAAGTGAGCAGAATGGATGCATCTTTAAGATCCACTCTAGCCTCACCAGAGGATGACTAGCCAGCCAGCACTGAAGGTCTCCATCTCCTTCCAGACCATGTAGTAGTCATCAAACTGACAAGAAATGACAATTCACCTCCCAGGGTTGGGAAGGCCAGAGCTACATTCCAGATAGCCATCCTTCAGTGCTCCTCCCCTTCTCCCCACCCCAAAGAAAGGTGCTCTCCATCTTGAAAGCCAAAAACTCTTTGGATGATCTATCACTATTCATTTGATTTGTGTGTGTATGTGTATGTGAGAGAGAGAGAGAGAGAGAAAGAGAAAGAGAGAGAGAGCATTCTGCTATGTAGCTTAGATCCTCCTGTCTCAAGCTTCCATGTGCTGTGATTACAAGCATGCTCAACTGTGCCCATCTTATCTACTCCTAATCTTTGCTTATTTCCAGAACAGAGCACACAGCATTGTTCAGGTATATGAATAAATACATATACTGATTTTATTCAAAGATTGGGAGGAACCAATATGTCTGTGTGTATTGGCTTGCTCAATGAGATACCGAACAGGAAAATAGACAATTTGAAAGTCATATGTATTTTTAAAATACAGGATTTTAAGGAAATGTTTGCTTACATTGGAGGTACTTATGGCTCTATTTAGAGACCCCCTCAAGGAATTCATTCCTTTTTCCACACAGTAGGGTAGTTTGGTAGGAAAGTGTAAGAAGCAAAGATTTGCTCTGTAACCTACAAGGATAATTCTTTCCTTCTCTTGTTGGATATACAAGTTCAAGAGACAGATCCAGAAAGAACAGCATTGGGCCCAAAGACAAGCTGTGTTGAAATTCGCTATAAGAATGGTTCCAGTCAATCATTGGTGGCTCATGCCTGTCATCTTAGCTACTCAAGAAGGATGAGATGTAAGGATCTTGGTTTGAAACCAGCCTGGACAGGAAACTCTCTGAGATTCTTATCTCAAATTAACTAGTAAAAAAACAAAAGTGGAGGTGTAGCTCAAGTGTAAGAGTGCCATCCTTGAGCAAAAAAGCTAGTAGATAGTGCTTAGGCCTTGAGTTCAAGCCCCAGTACCAGCACAGAAAAAAAGAAAATGATTCTAAGTGATTTAGGTTATGACCTCTGACTTCCAGTCATAGCCTTCTCTTGTTCACGTAACTCCCAAATTTGTCACAATGCTATTTAAATGTATTAGCTTTAAGATTCACACTCTCCCCGACTCCGCATAGTACCAAGCTATATACAGGTGCAGAGGGGTACAGAGCCACTTTACAACAAACTCTACTTAAAACAGTATTTCAGATAACCTCCTATCCCAACATATACACTTAAGTATGACATGGAGCTGGGCAAACTACTACAGACAAACCTCAGCTGGGAGAGGCAAGACTAGAAGCTTTCTCGGCATGAATTTTGTGGCAGCCCCTGGCTACCCCTACCCCTTAGCATTTTCCCTTAGCATCTCCCCATCCCTTTCTACCATTCAGTATGATGGCTAAAGTTTCAAGGATTGATTCCAAGCACTTCTATTTGACACGTCATATACCTACCATCCTTAGGAACAAGTAGCATCAATGTCCCTAATTTACATGTGAGAAAAATGGAGGGAGGATCAAGATGTAGAAATTGCCCAAGCCAAGTACTTAATTTACAAGTGACACAACTCCATTTCAACTTGGGTCCTATTCCAAAGTCATATTTTTCCACCACATGTCTATTTCCTACAATATCACTCTGCTGCCTCCTTCAAATATCCCTACTTTCTTCTTCTTCAGACCCTTTTCTTATTACAGTAATTACTGGATTGCTTACTCTCCACCTAAAGTTCCATTTGAGACTTTAATTTCCGATTAGTGATTGTGGCAATGGGGTTAGCTGTCAGCTGCGTGGCTGTTTTGTTCTCATAGTTTTCCTGGTGTTGGGATTATTTAACTGTGATTAGGGCCTAATCCATGCTTCAGCTGTCTGTAAAAGGGTCAGACACAAAAGCACCTGAATATCGGTCAAACCAATCTAAGCTGTGGCATTTACAGCTCTCTTCCCCTAACTGGCACACTTTTCTGTTCACAGCTGGAACTCTGCTTATTTGTGCGTAGGAGGACAAGGTTAATAGCCACAAAAGAAGTAGCCTAAATCTTCTCTGCAGTAAGACGGAAAGGTGTCTTGGCTGTTTTATTGCATTCAGATAAAAGAGAAACATACTCTGTCAATCTGTCCTGGGCAGAATAAAATGGAAAACAAATGATCCAAATTGATTTTTATTTCCAACATCTGAGAACAGAAGACATAAGGCTATCTTATCCCAACAACCACTATATCACCACAAACACTTATTTTTTTTTAAAGTCATTGATTCTCTTTCTCTTCTCTGAATCTGTCAATTTCTAAAATCCACTGCCCATTTTGCTTTGCTTTGCCACACTAATCGCTTCACTTTATGGATGACCTCTTTTCCTGAAACATCATTGTCATTTCTCCAGTGTTTTCTCTGATGATTCAATTATTCACTCCACACCCTTTGTAACTCCTGTTTATAATTCTGCAACCCTACACAGTCAGTTTCGCTGCTCATTCCAGATAGGCATTGGGCCAATGTATTGCCAATAACACTCATTCTGTGCTGACTTAAAATACACAGTGCAGCTTGCCAAGTTTCCTTATTTGGCAAGAAGGTCCCTCAGTTCCCAAGATCTTTGACCATCCATTTTTAGATTTAAATCTGTGTGCTTAATATTCGGTTATTAATGCATCCTATGCATCCCTAAAGGAATAACAAAAAGATCAATTCCTCTATATGCTTTCCTAGACAAGGAAAAACTTCCTGCCAATGTGTTATGGCCTTTTACTCTGGAATGACTACCATTGAAACTTTTGATTCAAACAACATTTTCCACTTTAAAAAAAAAAAAGCTTCTAAAATAATCCCCCAAAGAGAAGAGATTAGACGGTAAGAGATTAAGATACACAGTGCATACTGTTAATTTTCTCTTTTCAAGTAAGCTAAATTTATATTCATTTCCAACCTCCCAAATCTCTCACAATTGTACAAATGACCAAATCCATAATTAAAACGCAGTCATTATATACCTATTTACAATAACAACCACCAAACAAGAACGACAAGATTTCACCCTGAAGAGGGGCCTACTACAAAGACGACCTTCACAGGTCTTGAAGCACTTATTTCTGTCTTTAAAGGTTTGGACTACTGGGTCCTTCCCTAAAGCCAGGAAAGGAAAAGCAAGAAGTCCTGCCTCAAACAGCTTCCAGCAGTCAAGGAAGGAGGAACTGAACTTTCACAAGTTAAAATTCATCCCGTAAGAGGGTTCTCGCACGCGTTCCTAACGAAAGCTGCTGATTTATTGTAAAGCCCTTGCAATGGGCCACTCAGCGGCGTGCTTTCATTATTAACGAAAACTCACAAAAATAGTAATTAAGTTTCCCATAAACAGTGCTTAGGCAGGATCTCAAGACGCACCAGAAACAGACGTTTTCGGCAGTCTCTCAAGGATGCCCAGCGTGTGGGCTGTTTGTGGGAGCTTTCGGTGTTTTAGGCAATTCGGTGTCATCTAGCCAATGGAGACTCTCAAGTTCTCCTGGAAGCCGGCGGGCGCGGCGGGGCCGCTGCGGGGCTCAAGGCCCAAGGCGCCCGGGGCCCGTGGGTCTCCCGGCAGGAGCCCCGCGGCAGCGCGGGGAACCGCCACCCCGAGTGGGGTTGCGTCTATCCACGGGGTCCCCACAAAAAGCAGAAGTTGCCCGCCGCTCTTGGCCGGCTCAGACGTCAGCAGGGACGGCCGGCTCGGGGGCCCCGATTTCCAGGATCCCGCCCCGTGCTGACCTCCGGGGTCGCGGCCACCCACGACCCGGAGCGCGCGGGCTGCGCCCCGCTCGCTCTCCAGGGCGCCAACTCCTCGGCGGGACCTGCCCGGACTTTCCCCAGCCGCACTTGGGCACGACAAGTGTGGAGAGGTCGAGCGCCGGGACAATCGCCCTGCCGTGGGGCGGAGGGGGGGGTTGGAGTCGGGGGCGAGGTGGCCCTGGGGACCCTCAGGTCCCGTCCTTGCGTCGGGCCGGGCCCCGGGGCTCCGGGACGCCCCAGCTTTCCCGCGATCGGTCGCGGAGGGCCAGACACCGGCCCTCGGCCCTCCCTCCACCCTCCGGCCCGCCGGGCCTCCCTCCGCCGCTGCCGGCCTGACCCCTACCTGGCTCCCGGACAAGGCGCGAGCTGCAGGCGGGGCGCGGAAGCCCCGAGCGACCAGGGCGGCAGGAGTCGGGGACGGGGTCGGGGACGGCGGCCCGCGCGGCTCCCACGCTTCCGCCGGAGTCAGGAGTTGAACATTCCGCCTCTCCGCGCGGCGCCAATGAGGAAGACAGGCACGGCAACAGCACCACCTACCTCCCGGCGCGGAACCGCCGGGCCCACCGGCCCTGCCTGGCAAGGCACGCGGCCTGGCACGGCGTGCCCGCCGCTCTCCCGGAGGACCTGGGCACCGTCCGCCCAGGGTCCCGCGCCTGGCGCTGGCCCGACCGGCCACGAGGGGCACCAGCCGGCTGGCTCCTGGTCCCCTGGTCCCCTGGCATCCTGTCCACAAGTTGACACCGCCTATTGCGGCCACTCAACCCTCACCAACACACCGAGGCGCTGGGGACACAAAGGGTTGGGGAGGGGTGGGGGTGCTTCGTGTGCTACCGCAGTCAGCCCTCCAGCTGGGAAGGGGACGGGCGTTGAGGGCGAAAGATAGGGCTGACTCAGTGGAACCATCGGTAGATATTTGAGGAGGGTCCATGGCCTGCTGCTGTGGTTGGTGACTTTAAATCCAGGTGCCTTCTATATACCAGGAGATAGAAGATGAGCAAAAGCTGGCAGAGGGCTTTGCGAAGAAAAGAAAGTGTTTGGGGAGAATGGTTCTGGGGAGGAAAGTGAGAGGATGTAGCGTTTCCAGGACTCCTAAGTTTAAAGGATCACTCACAGATACTGAGGAAACCGTGGAAAGTTGGGTTTAGGCGGAGAATGGATGTTGGTATTTCAATGATGATTCTAAGAGCGGCCCACTGTGGTGGTGGTGGTAGGTGGCGGGGGGGGGGGGGGGGGGGGGGGGGGGGGGGGGGGGGATGGTAGTGGAGTGATGGCTAAGGATGGGATCAGGGAAAATCCCTAGTTATTGGATCTTGAGAACCTGAGTTAGAGGGTATAAAATGGAACTTTAAAAGAAGGCTTGGATTGAGAGATATGTTTCAGAAAGAGGCCAAAGAAACTGGTGACCCACTAAAATTGGAAGAGGGAAAGATGATGCTAAGCCTTCAGACCTGGGTGACTGAAAGAATGATGGTGTCATTGACAGAAATAGGAGTCTGTGGAGGAAGCTGGCTCCCTGCTGAGGTTCAAGTCATGGTAGGAAAAACCAGTAGAGATGCAGCAGCTAAAATAAGAAACTAAAATTGAGAAAAGAAGCCAAGGGAGAAATACAAAATCTGTAAAGCACTCATGTAAGTTACATATGTGACTGTGGGTGGATGAGCAGGCCAGTAAAGGACTATGAACCTTAGATTCATCATTTCTGTTGGGGGGGGGAGACAATCGTGGAAGGAGTGACACTGATCAGGATGCATTATACTCATAATCTGACTCGTGGAATTGAACCCCTTTGTGCAACTCGTTAATGAAAAATTAAAAATAATAATCAATTTTTGTAACTAAGACATTAGTATGAATATAAACTGTCATGCTAAACCACTTTTTTTTCTGATGTAGGTAATCAAATAATTCTAAAACCATCTGCCCCTACACGGGAAAACTAGGGCCTTTAGCAAAATCACAGAGAAGAGGGTAGTTAGTCATTTCACATTGCCTTCAAAGGTACTTGATTGTGATATGATATTAGGCCCAGGAGTCAAGAGACCCTGACATTTGTCTTAGTTCTGACAGTTATCAGTTGGGGTACTTTGATAGACCTCATCTTCCTCTAACTGAAAATAAAGGAAGGGCTAATTAGATGCTAGCAATTGGTTCCAGCTTTAAGCGTATGTATGCGTTGCTTTATATAAGAAGCACATGGCTTAAAAGCCTTAATATTTTTAGCTGCATTACCCTTCCTCTCCACCCAGTTTTTCTCCATTCCATTTTCCTCACATAATTAGGCTCAGAGAAAAACCAGCAGGAACCGTGAACCTACAAAGCAGTCTCACAAATATACTTAAATGATCTTCTGTTAATCATCCTCTTGTCTTTCTAATTACATTGCACACTCTTCAAGGTCATAGTTTATATTCAATTGTACTTATCCGTAAGTGAAATAAATACATCATAACTCTGGGATAAACCAATTGCCTCAAGTCTGATTTTTCTTTCATTTAGCTGCCTATTACCTTAAGACTGTATTGATCTCTTTAGGTGCCAGAATGAACAGGTACAATCTAGTCTAATGCTTTTCCCATTCTTTACTCTGAATCTTTACTCTGCATTTGCAAACGGTGAGAGTTTACTAGTTAATTCTCATCAGGCAGGATATAGGTTCACAAATGGAAACAGCAATAACAAGAGGCATAGCCAAGCCTCCTATTCCTGTACTTCAAATGTTTCCACACTGAAAATAGGACCCTCAGCAGAGGAGTGGCTTGCAAGTCTTCACCTTTTTTTTTTTTTTTTTTTGGGTCTGGGCCCAGGCGCTGTCCCTCAGCTCTTCAGCTCAAGGCTAGCACTCTACCACTTGAGCCACAGCACCACTTCTGGTTTTTTCTGCTTATGTGGTGCTGAGGAATCAAACCCAGGGCCTCAGGCATGCAACGCAAGCGCTCTGCCACTGAGCCACTTTCCCAGCCCCATAAAGCACTTTCTTACAATGAAGAACACCCTCCAAAATAATCATGCAATCTAAGTAAAGAGAGTGTATTTGCTATTCAGAAATGTCTCCTAACTACTCTTTCAATGGGCTTGTTCCTCCCTAAGTCCTTCTTTTTTAAATATAATTTTATTGTTATTATTAAGGTGTTGTACAGAGGGTTTACTATTTCATAAATCAGGTAATGAGTACAGTTCTTTCTTGGATAATGTCACCCTTCCTTTGCTTCTAAATACAAACTTAAATACAAACTTTAGAGCTGCCACCGACTATCAGTGGATCAGAGATGTGCAGACATAAGTTCTACTAATCGTAGAAGGAAAGGCAACTTAAAAGGAAGAAAGCATTCCTAATCTTCCTTTCCCTTACAGATAAGACCTATATATAATGCAATCTGGAACTTATGGGCATTTTCTCCAGCCATCTCAGTTCTTCATCTCAGATATGAATCAATGTCTGGAACACAGCTGAGCATTAGTCAACCTGTATACAGAGGTCATTGCTTTGCCTTCTGTACCACAGTCAACTGTGAATCCCTGGGAAATCAAGGCATATAAATTAGGCATCCTTTAAGATACAGAATCATTACCTTAAAAGCCCAGGTTATTTTTTTTTACTTTAGTTTTCACATGCAACTTGAAGATCAAAGGATATCCAAGGGTATTTAGGTGTCCTTGCAAATGAACAGAATAGGCAAGAAGATATGCTGAGGACTTGGGCAGAATTTATTCAGTAAATATTTACTGTCAGGCATTGTGTTGAGCTTTATAATTATAATAATGATGGATAATACGTAGTGCTTTTTCTTAGGACTTTTCAGAATGCAATGAATGGAAGAGCCAGTGAAGGCACAATTATACTGAGGTATGCTCTTAAGAGAGCACTGATAAGGGCTTTTAGCAGAGCACCTAACACAGTTTTGGGAGGCCAACAAAGGCTTCTGAGTCAACCTCTAAACTGATACAAGAAGAATGAAGAGGATTTGTTAAACAAAAAGGAAGTAAAGGTATTCCGGGCAAAGGAAACAGCAAACGCAAAGGCCCAAGAGCATTTAAAAGTTGAAGAACTCAAATTTTTAGTTGTCTGAGTAAACACATTGTTTGGAAAGAGTAACAATCCTCAGAGCAGTAATAATAGTAGTAGCAGCAATAGTAATAATAACAACAGTAAAAATTAATAGAGATGGTTAACATCTACTTAGCACTCATGTGCCACACCCTGAACTAAGAGTTTTACATAGTCTCTATTTAGTTAGTCTTCAAGGTAAGACCAGAGAAAAGTCTTGGGAATCTTAGGCAATTTGCCTTCCCCTAGGGATTAAGAGGTGGTCTTGGGGACTGTTCTTTTATTTCCATCATTAGGGAGGCCTTGTTAATTTGGACAAAATTTTTCAGCTTTTTAGTCTCAGGGCTCCTTTATGTTATAAAATCAAATGGATTTTGAGAATGTCAAATAACTTTGGTTGCTGTGGGTTATATCTAGCTGTATTTCTCATTCTAGGAATTAGTGCTGAAATGTTTTATTTATTTTATTCATTTAAACCAGGAATAACCACATATTAATCATCTATTTTAATGAAAAGTACCCATTGCCCAATTTTTTTTTAAATTAGAAATGTCATTGTTTTAAATTTTGGCAAATCTCTTTAATGGCTTGAAAGAGGACATCTGGATTCTCATATCTACTTCTGCAGTAAATCTTTCCCAATCCTGACTACATATGTCCTCTGGGAGTTTAAACTCTACAGTATACTCATGAGACACCACAGGGGAAATAATATCTGCTAAGACAACATTTTACTCTATGAAATAAAATAGAGGTCGTTTATTTTTATTTTACAAATGGAGTTTTTGCCTTTGCAGACCTCTGGATCACAGTTTGCAAATGGTTGGTGTGGCAACTCCAGGTGCTCTTTGAGAAGAAGTGAGTTTCCTTGTGCTCTGCCTCAAGATGCAGCATCACGGTCAGCTGCATCAAGTGGGGAAGAGAACACTTGGCTAGATGTCCAAAGTTTTGGAATGCAGTGTCAGCCCTATCCCTAAGTAGCTGCCTCTTATTTTGACTATCACAACTGTGATGGTAGCAGCCTGTATTCAAACAGTGTATTACTGAAATCTAAAACTTTCTGAACTTAAAGAGATTTCTGGATCTCTTTGTTAACTGATCCAAAAAATAGAAACAAATTTTTATCCCCTCATAACTGTATCTTCTCATCAGGTAAGCTGATCAAACATTGTAGAACACATTATGTTCTTATAGTATCCAAAGCTTCCAGGAGACATACCTTGTTTTTCCTGAGTAAACCAAATTCTCACACTCAGACTTCCAGATATTCTAAGAAGTTCAATGATGTAATCCCACATGACATTGAATTTCAATACCAACTTCTTGGGTTAGCACATGTCATAGGGAAGAAGAATTCCATCTTCTTCTATCTGAAAAAGCAATAATTGTCTTTAATCAGGCAATGTTTAGTTCTATTTAATAATTACTCATAAATGATC